CCCCAGCGCGCCACGCGCGACAGCGCAAGGGGGGGGGGGCCGCCGACCCCACACGGCGGTCAGGAACTTGTGCTCCGAGTGTCCCGGCGGAGACCTCCTGCGCCTCAGCAGCCCAAAAAGCGCGTCGCTCTGGTTGGGGGCGTGCTTTGGCGTGTCGCGCGGAGGAGGAGGAGGAGGAGGAGGAGGAGGAGGAGGAGGAGGAGGAGGAGGAGGAGGAGAGGAGAGGAGAGGAGGAGGAGGAGGAGGAGGAGGAGGAGGAGGAGGAGGAGGAGGAGGAGGAGGAGGAGGAGGAGGAGGAGGAGGAGGAGAGGAGGAGGAGGAGGAGGAGGAGGAGGAGGAGGAGGAGGAGGAGGAGGAGGAGGAGGAGGAGGAGGAGGAGGAGGAGGAGGCTATGGACCCCGGGAGCTCCCCCGGGCCGAGCTCTTCGTCCTGCACCGTCCTCGGACCGCCCCACGGGGCCCGCGGAGGGCCCCGCGAGCCCGAGCACGGCGACACGCCTCTCGGGACCCGTCCTCTCGGGACCCGCTCTCTTCCCCATTTGGCGACAAGGGGGTGGAGGAGGGAGGAAGGCTTCTTAGAAGGAGGCTGCTTCTTAGAAGGCGCGGGCCTTACATCCATAGACAAGGCCCGCGCCTTCTAAGAAGCAGGGGTGCTTCTAAGACGCCCTGCGCGTGTCTGACCCGTGGCGAGTCGCTGTCCCTGAGAGGGCCGAGGCCCGGGGCCGACGCCAGGTGGCAGCAGGCGGGCCGTCGGAGAGAGCCTCGGTCTGCCGCCGCCCGCCGCGGCGCGTGGGCACCGTGCCCGCCCGGGCGGCACTCCCGGAGGCCGCCTCGAAGGGGCCCGAGCCGATGGGGTCGGAGGATCGCGCCGCATCGTCGGTGCATCGGCGACACGTCGCCGATGCATCGGCGAAGCACCGGCGAGCTCGGCGATGCACCAGCGACGCCGGCAAGGAGAGAAACATCGGGCTCCGCATCGGCGGTGCATCGGCGATAGCGGCGCAACCATCCGACCCCATCTACTCTGACCCCATCTGGGAGGCCTGGCATAGGCGGCGCGCACGGGAGGGGGAAGTGAGAAATGGCGGGCCTTCTCAGAAGGCTCGGATGCCCCCCGGCCTTCTGAGAGGTGTTCTGAGCCTTCCCCGAAGACACAACAGATACTTCTCCAGAGGCGCGAGGGCTTCGGAGAAGTCCCGCCGCCTCCCGAGGAGGCCCTCCTCTTCTCTCTTCCCCCCCTCGCTCGCCGCCGACAGCACACTCCGCGGGCCCGGCCTCGGGGAACAGCTCGGCGGCAACTCACGGGAGCCTCCCGCACCATCTTGTCGGTCCTTGCGAGTGGACGCTACCTCGACGCTGGTCGATGTTACTCGACGCTAAAGGCGACGCTAACCGACGGCACGTCGGCGCGATCTGATCGACTCCCAGACGCCCATCGACGCTCATCGATGCTGACGACGGAGTGGAGAGGGCTTAGAGGCAACTGCTGGGAGGTTTTCGTCGGAAAAATTAGGGAGGATTAAGCCACATTTGGGAATGGTTGCGCCGGAGTGGGCCTCGGACTAAGCAGGACTAGGCCGGATTCAGCGGGATGAAGCGGGATCAGGCCAGCTTCAGCGGGATGAGCTCAGCCGGATGGAGCCAGACTTCGGACCAGGGCAAAGTCAGGAGCTGCATCCGACAGAGGGCACTACACCAGGCTCCCAGGACTGGCTGCCCGAGGACAGCGCCCCGCAGGGCCACGCAGGTGGCCCGCGGACCTCCGCCCCCGCCGCGGCGGCAGCCCCGCGCCGCCGCGGGCGCCGCACGGCGCCCACGGCAGGGCGCGGGGGGCGGCCGGACCCCGGCCTGCGACGGGCTGCTGTGGCTCCGGGCTGGGCTCCGGCGCGCCGGGTCCGCCGGCAGCAGTCCTCACGACCCCCCCTCGCAAGAGTGAAGTCGGGCGTGTCCCTCTACAGGAGGCGTATTCAGGAATGGGCAGAAATCATGTGTGAACGTTTTTTGTATATAGAAAAGCATAACAAGATGGACCATGTTCGAATAGTATTTGACTGCTTTCTCTTGTTCTTCTGAAATCCGCCTGTAGGGGGACATGCCCGACCTAGCACAAGAGGTTCGGATCTCAGGATTTGCTCCTATCGGCGATGGGGCTGCTTAGGTCTGCTGTTACCCTACGAGCACTACCTACCCCCTCCTCTGTCGCCCCAGGGACACAAACCGCGTTCGAAGCCCCTCAGCGAGATCCAAGCTCTGACCAGGACGTCGAAGCGAAGCCAACGACGAAACGTGTAAAGGGTGGTCCGAGACGGGTGCGGCGGTGCCATGCGGGCGCTGCCACAGGATCCTTCGATGGAGTTCACTGTGGGGTCACGAAACGTGTGAATGGGGGTGCCGAAACGAGGGCGCTGTCACTGAGGCCTTCGGTGGAGCTCCCTGTGGGGCCACGAGACGTGTGAGCGGTGCGCAGCGTGGAGAAGCTCGAAACGAAGCCAACCGTGGCGACAAGGAGAGGGTGGAGGTATCAGAATATGATACAGGTTCCTCTGAAGTCTGGCCCCCGCCCCGCGCCCACCCCCCCACAGCAAGCGGCGCCCCAAAGGCCACGGCGTCCAAGGGCCGTTCCTGCGCGCAGCCGAGGAGGAGCGGACGGCTTGCCAGAGGGCGCGCCAGGGCCAGACTTTGGAGAAGCACGTGCCGTATACTAAATCAGAGTGAGGGGGCCGAACGGTCACTCGTTGTCCCTGGGCGCGTGGCTGCATAGGGATTTTGTGGTGAAGATTCTGCTTGATGCGTTGTTGTTGTTGTTGTTGTTGTTGTTGTTGTTGTTGGTGTCGTTGTCGTTGTCGTTGTCGTTGTTGTTGTCGCTGTTGTTTGTTTGTTGTCGTCGTCCCACCCGCGACCCACCCGCGACCCACCCCGCGACCCACCCCGCGACCCACCCCGCGACCCACCCCGCGACCCACCCCGCGACTCACCCGCGACCCATCCGCGACCCACCCCGCGACCCATCCGCGACCCGTCCGCGAACCACCCGCGACCCACCACGCGACCCACGCCGCGACCCACCCTCAAAGGAGGAGGAAACCACCCAGACCCGAAAATTGACGTTTACTAAACGGCCCTGTGCGTTTACTAAACAGCCCTGCCTTGTTCGAGTCATCCCTTGTGTGCGTTTGCTAAACGGCTTCGCTTGTCGGGGTGAATATCATGGGGTTGATTTTCTGCACTCTACACCCGCGACCCAACAGCGACCCATCCGTGACCCATTTGCGACCCACCCGCGACCTTCCCACATTGGTTTAGTGAAACAATCGGCGCCTGCGGCGGGCTCGTTGTATAGTTTGTGGAACTCTGGCGCCCGCGGTGGGCTCCTCCAGAGTCTCGCAGACTGCCGACGTCTCCGCCGCCCCCCTCACTCTTATCCGCATCTGCGGGGCGCTACGCTGGCCATCGCTCGGACGTCCCTTCCCTGTGGTTGTTGTTCGGTTTCGTGCGTGGCCTTCCGCCACATGATCCAGGATGCTCCTCGATGGTCATCGCCGAAGGAACAATGCACGCGTCCGAGCGATGCCAAGTACGGTGCTGACACCCCGTTCGTCGTCGCCACAGCTGGCTTATGATGTTCCAACCTTCTGTAGCCTTGATCATCAGAAAGAATTTCGAGCGCCAGACAAATACCACAACTCGAACGTTTTCATGTGTCGGGCCCTGGGAGACACTCGTCCGACACTGCTTCGACATTGTTTCGACACTATTTCGACACTTTTCTGGGTGCTCGAAGTTATTTCTGGGATGTGGTCCCTGAGTACGATGGGAGCAACATAAGCTTCGCTTCGAGAGCCTGGTCGGAATGCAGCCGCGCCCCATGAGGCCGCGGCGGCGAAGGGCCACTCTTGCAGCGCCCGCGCGCCGACGCGGGAGCCGCCGACGCCGCCGCGTCTGGCGGCTGCGGGACGCCTGCGGGGCAATCGTAGTCGTCGCCGGCCGTCGTCTGAGGTGGACGACGTGGACGACATGGACGACGACGACGACGAAGACGGACGACGGCGAAGACGACGACGGACGACGACGACGACGACGACGGCGACGACGACGACGACGACGACGACGACGACGACGACGGACGACGACGACGACGGACGACGACGACGACGACGGACGACGACGGGCCGACGACGACGACGACGACGACGGACCAGCGACATCGACGGATCGATGGACCAACGGACCGACGAGGACGACGACGACGACGACGACGACGGTCGGGAACTTTTGCTTAGCCTGTCGCGGCGTCGGCCCCGGCGACGCGCTGTACTCTGGGAGCGGATAGCGTGTCGCTCCGCTCCGGGAGGCTGGAATGAAGGGGCCCTGGAACACACAAATAAATACACACAAATAAAAAGATTCCCCGTATTTTCCTATATTTTCTGGGTTTTTTGTCTTCCCCCACACACCCCATATTTTCCTGTATTTTCTGGGGAATCGTAAATTAATTGTGTCTGTGTGATTTTTCCCCTCCTGATGGAAGCGGGGAAAGGCTCGGGACGTGGTCCTCTGAGAAATGGGGGCGTGGATTGCGTGACGCGCCGAAGCGCGGTAGGCCAGAACTTGCGACGCGACACGCGAAGCCAGTCTTCTTGACGGTAGGGGTGAAGCGTCTCAGGGGGGAAACATCGACCTCGTCGATGAATCGGCGATCGGCGGTAGGCTCCCGATGAATAGCAAATCGGCACTCTCCTGGGCGGGCTGGGCTACCAGGCCCTGGATGCCTGCGAGGCGATCCTCACCGTCGCCGGCCGTCGCCAGCCGTCGCCCGCCGTCGTCGGCCGGTCGGCCCGTCGTCGGTCGGTCGTCGTCGTCGTCGGCGGCCGCCGCCGCCGCCGAGTCCGTCCTCCGTCGCTGGCATCACCGCCGGGCGCCGGCGGCGCGGCGCCGCGCCGAGGGCCACCGACGGGCCGCAGGCCGCGGGCCGCCGCGGGCCGCCGGCGGGCCTCGTCGCGCTCATCGCCTCTGCCAGGGCGCGGGCGGCGCCCCCAGTGGCGAGACGGCGCGGGCGGAGCTGCCGCGGCCTCGGAGCGCCGGCGGTCGTCGGTCGACTGTGGTCGTGATCGTCGGTCGGTCGCTCGGTGAGTCGTCGGTCGGTGGTCGTCGTCGTCGTCGTCGACGTCGTCGGTCGGTGGGTCGGCGGGTCAGTGGGTCGGTGGGTCGGTCGGACGTCGGTCGTACACCGTCGTCGGTCGTTCGACGGTCGTCATTCGTCGGTCGACGGTCGTGGGCGTGGGTCGCCGGTCGTCGGGCGGAGCTGCCACGGCCCCGGAGCTGCTGGCAGGGGGGCGGCGCGACTGCTCGTCGCCGCCATCCTCTTCTTTTTGCGTTTTGAACTGGCGCTGATCGAGGCGACCGCGGCTTCTGCTCTCCTCGTCGTCCTCCTCCTCCTCCTCGTCCTCGTCCTCCTCGTCCTCGACCTCCTCCTCGTCCTCTTCCTCGTCCTCCTCCTCGTCCTCCTCTGCTCTCCTCGTCCTCCTCGTCCTCTGCGTCGTCTTCCTCGTCACCTGGACCTCCGGCGCTGTGACTCGTCAACCTTCGAGGGCCGTTTTCGGGCCCCGAAGCTGTCGAACATGGATCGGGGACGGAGAACTACCCACCAGAGAAGGAGTCGGGACCTCTGGGGCCGCGCACCGACTAGACATATCCTCGGATGTGTGGGCAATCAGTAGGACCTAGGACAACTTGCGTCCACAATGCCCAGAAATGTCATCGGACATGGCCTTCGCGCTCCCGCTCGGCTGCAGTGACACGGGGATGCGGAGAGACACGCAGCCACAAACCTGGGATTCGGGAACAAAACAACAAAAGCACGGGAGTTAGGTTTTTGTCCGCGCCTGCTCTCTGTGTGCCTCCCGCATCCCCACGTCCACGACGCTCAGAGCTGTCGTCGGACGGGTCCCGCTCGGCTACAGTGACCTCTGCACGTCGCGCGGCACACCGCACGCCTGCACGGAGCCGGTCGTCGCAGGCGGCCACCCCTCGCCTTCGACCTGGGGCCCCTTCCACACTGCAGCACGCTATACCCCCCAGAGATTTGGACGCCCGAAATGGGTACAGAAAGAATGGATACAATGCCCAACAGCGAATGTTGTCCCAATCCAACAGCGGCCGCTGTTGGGCAGGCGGCCTTCTGTCTCGAATGAACACCGGCCGCGGCGGCGTGGACAGCGAGCCCTGTTCAAAGTGAACAAAATCCGCTGTTGGGCATTGCACCCCTTCTTTCCGTGCCCATTTCGTTCGTGCAGAAGTGAAGGGGCCCTGGGACACACAAATAGATACACGCAAGTAAAACGTCCCCATACTTTCCCCAGATGTTCTTGGTTCCTGCCTTCCCCCCACTTCTCCCATAGTTTCCCATTGTTTTCCTCGGGATCGACGATGACTTGTGTCTGTGTGGTTTTTCCCCTCCTGAAGAAGAGAGGGGGGGCGCGCAGGCGCTCCCAGCGCCCGCCGACGCGTGCCGCCCTCTGCTGGCCGCCCGTGCGCCGCCGCAGCCTCGGCCGCTGGAGGGGCGCCTCTCGGCCTCCGCCGCGCCGCCGCGGAGAGAGCCGTGGCCCCTGGCGCCGCCGCGCTCGGCGGCTCTGGCCGGCGGCTATGGTCGCCTGGTCGCGGGTCACGTCCATCGCATCCGTGCACGTGCGGTGAGCAGGGACCGACCGTCCCGGCAGTCCTACAGTCATACCACGAAACGTTCTTAGAGCCCAAAACATGTTCTAAGAACAAAGACAATGTTCTTAGAACAAAGACTCGTTGTGTTTAAACAAGACAGACTCCGCCAGAAATATTCGAAGAACATTCCGTGGAAACAACAAAAGGTTCTTAAAACATTGTTTGGTGGGGCTACAGGCGAGCCAGGACGCTTCGCCACTGCTTGAGTGCGGTGCGTGGGCAGAGCCTTCCCCGGCTGGCGCTACCACCATCCTGGGGCCAATGGGGTGGCACGCATGTCTCTCGCGTCGGCGCCCGCGGGTCTACCAGGCCACTGGCTTTCCCCTGGCCAGGGTCCATTTTTGGAAAAAGAAGAAAAGAAAGAACGACAGAAGCATTAACGTTTGGCGTTCCGCGCGGATTTCTTAGATCTGCGCTGAACCCCCTCCCTAGCGCGCGGAGCGCGCCAGAGGCAGCGCCGGAGGCGCCACTAGGGGGGCCCAGCGCAGAGCCGAGAAATCCGCGCGGAACGCAAAGAAGTTGATGCTCATGGTGCTTGTTCTTCTTCAAATATTGTTCACCCCCTTGGCGGAGCTATCGCTCTGCATGTCCCTCGACGCCCTGTTCTACCAGACGGCCCTCTCTCAACCGCATGCGGCTTCATGGCCGTCCAGGCGCTCATAAACACTCGTTGGCACGGACGACGCGCCGCGGTGTGCAAACACTTCGCGGGGCCCACGTCTCCGTGGGCACCTCTGGCCATTGCTCATCATGCCGATCTTCGCCACTGACAATGTGTACGCGGGTGCAGGGCACGATCATCATCCTGACACGCGCGCAGGTGGAGCAGTCGTCCTCCTCGTCATCGGCCTCCCCGTTCCTCCTCGCCCTCCCCATCCTCCCCCCTCCTCCATCCTCCACCACCTCCTCCGCCTACTTCTCCTCGTCCTCCTCCTCCTCCTCCTAACCATGATCATCAATATTATTATTATCATCATCATCCTCGTCTTCATCAGCATCAGCACCAATTTCATCATCATTATCCTCCTCCTCCTCCTCCTGATCATCATCATCATCATCTTTAGCCTCGCCTCGTCATACGCTTGGCCAACATCATCAACCATTGGCGTCGTGATCAAAATATCCATCATCCTCACCACCATCGCCAACACCAGCATCATCGCGGTGACCAGCGTTCAAACCATCGACGTCGGCATCGCACTAAGCATCATCATCGCCATCACAATCGTAATGATGATCAGTGCTATCATTCTCATCAATAACACCAGCATCATCATCATCATCAGCATCCTCAACATCATCATCATCATCATCACCATCATCATCATCAGCATCGTCAACATTGTTATCGTCGCCGCCATCGACAGATAAGATCGAGTCGCCTGTCAGGCTGCATCACATCACGTGAGCTATCAAGCACTTGCGAAAGATCTGTGGTAGTGCCAGCTGCAACTCAAACTTTCAGGCGTGCAAACAAATCGAAAAAGCAAACTAACATACCCGCAATTCTGCAATGTCGGCTGGGCGGGGTGGAGGATTTCAGTTTGCCGTGTCCCCCGCGAAGCGGTGTGTCCTTGAAATACGTCTGTATTGTTGCGTGCCGTGCTTCCCAGCCTTGCGGCCCGAAGTTGCCAAATGGGTGATCCAGAAGACCAGAATAAGACCCAAGCGTGGCGCAAGCACTTCCCGAGAGAGCCGCCGAGTGCCCCCAAAGACGGCCTGAAAACAAAGTCTCCCTAAGGGCCCAGCAGGGTCCCAAACGGCCCTCACAAGGCGCCAAACACAGCCCAAGAGTTCGACGCTGGTTCTGGGGACCTTCTTGGAGCCACTCGCTCCACTCGTGCGTTGAAGCTGCGTCGAACGTCCGTCGACTTGCGTCGAACCTGAGTCGAACTTGAGTCGAACCTGAGTCCAACCTGAGTCGAAGCTGAGTCGAACTTGAGCCGAATAGATCCATTATGTAGGCCCCAGAAAGGTCCCCAAAACGAGCATCGAACAAGAGGGCTCCCAAGTAGCCCCAAGATGGCTCCGAAGGGCACCACGGGGTCAACACGCCGCCCACGGATGGCCCCCGATGGGTGTACGTCATCATCTCATGGCCTTGGATGGCGCGTCGTATTCAAATTGCCTGGGGGAAATGCGTCGTACAGTCGGAGCGTTGACATAAGGAACCCTAAATAAGGAATGGGGCACCTTTCTCCCATACGTTGAACGTCGATTTCCCATGGGAAACCTCAGGAAAACTGAAGGCAAACTGCAGAAGAATCAAGGAACGCCGAGCCCCTCTCCAACGCAAAGGGTTCCTTCTTCAGGGCCCCGACTGTAGTCTTGCTGGGTGTGCGTCGTATTCAATGGACGTGCGTCGCACTCAAGCTGGAGGGCTGGAGGCGCACAGTACTCATACGACCTGTGAGGGTGCGTCACATTCAAAACGGCTGGGGAGTGGTGCGGCGTCTTCAAATTTGGAGTGCGCCGAATTCAAAGTGGAAGCACGTCATATTCAAACGGCCGTGGAGGATGCGTCGTGTTCAGGCGGCCACGGAGTCTGTCGTATTCAAAGTGGCTGAGCGTCGCATTCAGACTGGAGGCCCACTACATTTCATAGCCCTTGGGGAGCGTCGTATTCAAACACCCTTGGGCAAGGGGAGCGCGTCCCGTTCAAATTGGGGATGGGGCACGCCTCATTCAAACAGGAGGTGCCACAAATTCCAGCTGGAGGAGCGTCGTACTCAGACGACCTGGGAGGTGCGACGCATTCAAACGGCCAGGGGGTGTGTGACTGCGTCGAGAGCAGAACTGCAGGCGCGTCGTACTCAAATGGCATGCAAGATTGCGTTGGACTCAAAGCGGCCTTTGGGGGGACACGGAGTGCGTCGCATTCAAACTGGAGGCGCGTCTGCAAACGGACTGTGTAAGTGATTCGAATTTGAATCCCCTCCAGCGTGTAATGGTGGTGTTTCCTAGTCTCACCAAGGCCTGAGTTTACATGCATCATGAAGAACCAACGATGACCACCATAGAATTCCAGCGGTAAATAGATCGTGTCAGATCAAATCGGGCGATCGCACGTGTGATCAATCGACCCGTCGACTCGGATCATGCCCACCAATGGGTATACAGCCTGTGGCCACGGTAGCCCACGAGCTGCGTCAAAGAGGCCGTCCAGGTGGCCAGGACAGCGGGCGGTTGAGGGCACGACCAGCATCCAAACCAGGGTCCCACTTGTCCTCCGCGGGCGACGGCGTGACAGAGGGGTGAGACTCAACTTTTGAGATGAGGGAGGGCCAGAATCGGGGCGGACGACCGGGACAGGTGGGTCGTTCCCGAAATCCTGGATCCAAACGTGTTGCTATCTCGAGCGCGTTCTTTTTATTCGCGGCCGTAGCGAGTGATTTGGGGGGGCAGGGAGAGAGGACGGGAGGGAGCATGACGTAGCGCCCCCCTTCCCCAGACTGTGGCACCGGATGCACTGCGGCAGTGCCGGGACCGCACTGAGAGGGAGGGAACATTCAGTTATTGGGGGTAGAAGGGGGTGGGTAGAAGACGTAACGCGCGCCATGGCCCAGAGGGTCGCAGAAACACTCTCCTCTCTGGGCGCCTGCTGTACTTCCGCTGGCCGGCTCTCTTCCTCTGGCGCGGCCGCACCGTCTCGCTTCCGCCGCCCTCCGCCGAGGAATCCTGAATCCAGACATTCTGCTGCGATCTTGACCACCTGCCAGACCACCCCAACCCAACCCGAAAACACGAATTTCGGGTTGGGCGGGGTACGGGCTTCATGTGCGTGTTTTCTTTTCATGTTCCCCAACGCCCCCCACTGGAAATGGGAGGCAAATCGGGGCCCAGAGGGTTGGGTTGGGGTGGTTTGGTGGGCGGTGAACTCTTCGGGCGCATAATCTACTTCCGCCGGTCCGCCGTCTTCCTCTGACACAGCCGCACCGTTCTGCCTCCGCCGCCCTTCCTCTCGATGGCACGAAGCCGACAAGCAACTCCTCTGGCTCGAGGGCCAGGGCCTCTCTCTGCAACGCCCCTGGCTGGAGGGAGGAAGGGCGCGAGTCCCAGGAGAGCCCAGAATCTGAGGAGATCAATCATCGTGTTGGGAGGAGGGGGTTGGAAGGGTGAAGATCATGAGCAATAGCATTCGGATGCAACGAACGATACCTTCGGCCGCCTACGGGCAAGGATATCCTTGTTCCTCCCAACCCCATCCACCCATCCCGAAAATTATCTTCGTGAGAATCGAATCGACGAGTCGGCGCCGGCGATCGCAACGAATCGGAGCTTCAGAGATCGGCAGCCAGGTCGCAGGCAACCAAGCAAGAAGTCATACACCCAAAGGTGCGCAGGACGCGGATGTGGACAGACTTCGAGAAAGAATGAGCACCAGCAGTATACAAAGCATTCTGCACTGCAGCTGCAATGGTGCCAGCAGCCAAGTCGGGGAGAGTGGAAGCGGCGGAGATCGGCGTTGCGCCGCATCGTCGACACCTCGGCCGTGCGGCGCGCTCCCCCCCCCCCCCCTCTACTCGGACCCTTTCGGGGAGGCCTGGACCACCGCTGCCGAAGAACGGGGCGCGACAGCACCGCTCCCGCTGGCAAACCCGCCGCCATCTCGACTCCGAAGCTGCCCCTGGTCGGGCACGACTTGAGCAGGGACCGACAGTCCCGGCACTCCTGTAGTCCTACCACGAAGTGTTCTTAGGACTCGGAAAATGTTCCAAGAACAAAAACGATGTTCTTAGGACATAAGCCCGATGTTATAAAACAAAAAAAACAAGACAGTCCCAGGCAAACAGTTATTAGAACATTGTTTGGTAGGGCTATAGGCACGCCGGGACGCTTCGCCACTGCTTGACCGCCGCCATCTCGACTCCGACGCTGCCCCCGGTCGGGCACGAGCACGGCCGCAGGGGTCGGCGGTGGACAACCCTACCTTTAGTAAACCTCCCCTTAGGGAAAACGGCCTGGGACCGAAACCGACAGACCTGGACCCGCAAAAACGACGGCCGCGACGCCCCCTCGCGGACCGAGAACGGCCAATTCCTTAATCGACGTGTCAGGGTAGGAGGCAGGACAGGCTCCGCCAGAAATGTTCTGAGAACATTCCGTGGAAACTACAAAAGGTTCTCAGAACATTCTCTGGTGGGGCTGTAGGCACGCCGGGACGCTTCGCCACTGCTTGACACGACCACGGCCGCAGGGGGGGATCCTGCAGGATCCTGCAGGATCTTGCACCCGAGCCTGGGTCCATGCGACCCTGCCCCTGCAGGATCCTGCAAGGTCCGGCGCTCTGGCTGACCCCCGTTCGCATCGACCCCCGTCTCTGGAGCCCCGATGGTTTCCCAACCATAACTCGAGCCTCCCGAGGATGTTCGGGACGATCCGGGCACCCCTGGCACGCTCTGGACTGGGCGCTGCTGCCGGAGAGCACTCCGAGGCTGGAGAGCACTCCGAGGCTGGAAAGCCCCCGAGGCTCCCGACACCTCGGCTCCGACGCTGCCCCCGCTCGGGCACGAGCGCGGCCGCAGGGGGGGGGGGTGGGGGAAGGGGGCGACCGCTCCTGCGGCGCGTGCCTGCCCGGCGCGAGCGGCTCGGGCCCGCCTGTGAGGGGGGGCGGCGGCTGGAGGGCCCGAGAGGTGGGGCGCAGCGCGGGGGGGCGAGGACAGAGTTAACTCGGGCGCGCCCCCCTGCAGGTGGGGATCTTCGACGAAAAATGAGAAATACTCCCTACTTTTTATAAACGAATAGGAAAAACAAGACCCTGAAACAAAGATTCGACGATGTTTTTTCCTTCCCAAAAAAATCCCCGGACTCTTTTTTGGCAATTTTTGAACGTTCCCCCTGTATGGGGGGCATGCCCGACTTAGTACAAGCGCGTGCCCCAGCGCCGCCAAGCCGTCGCTGAGCTCGGCGGCGCCCTCCGCACCGGGGCCCCCGGCCGAGGCTGCCTCCCTCGCCTGCTCCCACGGCGGGCGGCGCCAGGGAAAAACGCTGGGGTGAGGGCGGTGCGACGACGCCGAAATAAAATGGTCGCGGCGGGGGGGGGCGGCGCGCTGGGCGGCTGGGGAGTGGGGGGGCTGCGGGAGGTGATGAGGGCGGTGGGGGCGTGAGGGCGGTGCTACGGGGGGGGCGAAGGCGGTGCGACGACGCCGAAATAGAATTGTCGCGGCGGAGGGGGCGGTGGGCTGCTGGGGAAGGGGAGGGGCGGGGGGGGGATGGCGGTGCGCCAGGGGGGGGGGGGGGGGGGGCGGTGCGACGACCCGAATAAAGTGGTCGCGGCGGAGGGGGCGGCGCGCTGGGCTGCTGGGCTGGGCGGGGGGGGGGGGCGGTGCGACGGGGGGGGGGCGGTGCGACGACGCCGAAGTAAAGTGGTCGCGACGGAGGGGGCGGTGCGCGGGGCGGCTGGGGAAGGGGGAGGGGGGGCGGGGAGGGGGTCAGGCGGTGCGACGGGGGGGGAGGGAGGCGGTGCGACGACGCCGAAATAAATTGGTCGGGACGGAGGGGGCGGTGCGCTGGGCGGCTGGGGAGGGGTGGGGCGGGGGGGAGGTGGGGGCGGTGCGACGGGGGGGGCGCGGTGCGACGACGCCGAAAGAAAGTGGTAGGGGCGGAGGGGGCGGTGCGACGCCGAAGGGCACTGGGCTGCTCGGGGGGGTTGGGTCGGGGGGGGTGAGGGCGGTGTTGCGGGGGGGTGAGGGCGGTGCGACGACGCCGAAGTAAAGTGGTCGCGGCGGAGGAGGAGGGCGCTGGGCTGCTGGGGACACGGAGGGGCGGGTGGGGGGGGGAGGCGGTGCGACGACGCCGAAATGAAGTGGTCGCGGCGGAGGGGGCGGTGCGCTGGGCTGCTGGGGAGAGGGGGGGGAGGGCGGGTAGGCGGTGCGGTGCGGTGCGGTCGAGGCGACGCTGACATGAAGTCAACGCTGCTGGGCAACGCTGGGGTGAGGGTGGTGCGACGACGCCGAAATGAAGTGGCCAGGGCGCGCCGAGGAGTCGGCGCTGCTGCGCAGACCCCGACCAATGCCGGCAGTGCTCGGGGGCCATCCTGCTCACCGGGCTCGGGAAAATCCGCCACCGTCGGCACTGGGGCCGCTGCGGCGAGGAAGAATGGCTCCTTGGGCTGGTGGACATCTGTGCGGAAACTTGTGTGGAAAGTTGCGTGAAAGCCGTGGTGAGAAAATCAAATAAAAAGTCAGCTCCCGTTCGAGCGTGGCGGGGCCTTTCTGTTCAACGAAAACCCCCTCCATTTTTCAACCCACTCCGGGTGTCGATTTTCAATCACGGCGGGTACCATTTTTTTACTTTCGACGGGCTCGCCTTTTCAACTGACTGCGAGGGCCTCTAGGGGCGTATCCTCCTGAGTTCAGGGAGGCAGACAGCAAGCGACTGAGACGCCTCTCTCGGATCACCGGGACAGTCTCCGGATGTTCGCGGCGCGCGCGGAGTGACTCGACAGGGGACGGGGTCTGAGCAGACGTGCCGGCCTGCCGGTCCACTCTCTGGCTTCCCGACATCAGGATTGAGACGGGGAGGACGACGGGGCCGCCCATTCGCCCTCTGCTCCTGCCCCCCGCCCACCTGCCCCAGCCTCCTCCACTGCCCTCCCCTCATCCCGCCGGGCCGCCCCTGCAGCTGCGCTGGACCTCTTGGCCCCTCCCCCGGCTTCTCGTCCTGCTGCAATTTCTCCTCCTTGCTGTTTGCTGCGTGTGGGCACAGACAGAGCTCAGGGCAGTCCCCCCTGAGGGCCACCGGGTCCGCCGCGTCCGGGGGCTGGAAGGGGAGGAGGCAGCGAGACCAGGGGCGAGGGCGCGCGAGGCGGCATCCTGCCTGCGACGCCGCAGATACAGGCAACCCCACGCCCGCGCCCCGAGGCCAGGGGCGAGATTGGGGGTATCGTCGTTCCGACGCAAGAGGAGGAGGGGAGGAAGGAGAAGGAGGCAGGCGGAAAAAAACCGAAACCGACATGCACAATTACAACGAAACCCCACCAGCCCTTTCGGGCGTAGGTGGTTTAGCGAAAGATTGCCTCCAACCTCTACCTTCTCTCGGGTGCGGTACCTCTCCTTCTACCCCCTCCCCTTGGGTCTGGAGGGCTGGAGGGAGCTTTCCGTGGGTCGCTGGGTGGTCTAGGATGGCCCCCAAACGGTCCCAAAAGGGCCCCAGCTAGCCAAACATGGCCTTCAGGATCGCATGATGTACCCCAAGTTTGTAGCATCGATGTATGCACCGCATTCGGAGTTCCCTATAGGACAACGAAAGGTGTGAAGGGTGTGCCAGAATGGGCGCGGTGGGCACATGCGAAAGCAGCCACTGGAGCCGTCGGTTGAGCTTCCTATGAGGCCACGAAGCGTGTGGTGTGTGTGTGTGCGTGTGCGGAAAGGGGTGCGGTGGGCGCATGCGAACGCAGCCACTGTGGCCGTTGGTGGCGCCCCCTTATGGGGCCACGAAGCGTGTGAGGGGTGTGCCGAAATAGGTGCGGTGGGCGCATGCGAACGCAGCCACTGGGGCCGTCGGTGGAGCTCCCTACTGGGGCCGTCGGTGGAGCTCCCTATGGGGCCATGAGGCGAGGGAGGGTGTCCCAAAATGGGTGCGGTGGGCGCCTGTGAACGCAGCCCCTCGGGCCTTCAGTGGAGCTTCCTGTGGGGCCACGAAACGTGTGAGGACTGCAAGGGATGGGAGGAGCGGGAGGAGGGAGGGGGAGGAGAAGGGGAAGAGGAGGAGAGAAGAGAGGGGGTGGGACAAAGCCAGGACCCAACACCTCAGGATGGTTGGGAAAAGGAAAGCTACAAATGTCAACCAATGCTCGCTCTGCTGGCTCGCCTGGCTGACACCCGCCTTGGGGGATCTGCTGACCCGGGCCAATGCAGACCCGGGCCAGTCGGGCTTGGCAGAATCCTGCAGGCTCCTGCACGCTGGCCCCGGTCAGTGCAGCCATGGCTCTGCAGGGTCCTGCAAGACTCGGCGCTGTGGCCAGCACCCGCTTGCACTTTGACCCCCGTCTCAATGACTGCCTACCAGACCACCCCAACCCAACCCGAAGGCCCGAATTTCGGGCTGGGGGGGGGGGGGCGGGCTTCATGCGTGTTGTTTCATTGTCCCCCCCCCCCAACTGGAAGTGGAGTGCAAGTTGAGGCCTGCGGGTTTGGGTTGGGGTGGTTCGGTGGGTGGGGACTCGAGGCTCCCGACGACGGCTGCTGCTGGCGCCGCCCGCGGGGCCTAAGGCAGACCCGCTGCTCGTCATAAATCCCGCCGTCCGCGGCGACGGCTGCGGGAACTCCACGCCGCGCTGGCACAGCCCGGCCACGGCCTCCTCGAAACGCGGCACGGCCCACGGCGTGCTGACGTCTGGAACGACTGCTCCGCTGCCGCCACCGCTTCCAACAACTGCGCCACTGATACAAACGGAGCACGGCCACGAGGACGCGGATCCCGAGCATGCGCCCCTTCGCCGAAGGCCCGAAGCCCCATGAGGAGACTCCAAGCGCAGAGAAGACCAGGGTGAACGGCCAGCACACGAAGAATGCGAGTGTATCCTTCCAGAGCTGGGGTTGCTCTGAACACTCGTGCGGGCAATATGTTGCTGGGCGTTCGTTCCAGCTGCGGCCTCATGTCAGGAGCCGCTGGGCAGGAATGAGTTCACGAGTGGCCAGTGGGCATAAGGCGGCACATCAAATATCCCTCCACAAGCGCTCGGCACAGCCCACCTGCGAGATCAATTTGTGAATTACTGCAATTGGCCTTTGCCATGTTGCAAATCATCCCACGGGGGAAAAATCAACGCTCTGCCGGAAGACCACGGAAACGTCAGGAAGAAACCATCTCAGGGTGGGCTGCGGCAACCGCCCTCGCGAACAACTTCGTACGCACTCCTCGCACGGCGCGAAACACGAAAACCGATGCACCGGTAGGAGGGGCTCCGAGGAAGATTTACACGCCCGACCTACATACGTACTCGCCTGTCGCATGAACAACGTCTAGTGTTACTCCTGCTTACGATCCCTCTCTAAACCTCTATATGTCTCTCTCTTGTTGTATGGCGGACTGCGGGAATCATTGATCCAAACACATTGGCGTCTCATGTATACTTCCGCCGCCTTCCGTAAACCTTTTGCCAACGGACCCCCCGCAGTTGGATCCCCGCTGGCTTCCGCCGGTCTTCCTCTGGAGGCGTGGTTTGCAGAATGCGAGGCCATTTCTGAGGCGCCCAGTGTCAATGTTTATTTCTGACCCTCAGCCTCAGACCTCAACCTAAGACAGACGCTGCGAAGAGACCAACGAGATCTTTCATATGCGTTCAAGAAGAGGCGGAGGATGGGGGCAAGGATGGAGAGAAAGCAAACGAAATCAAGATGAGAAGAGACAGGGATCTGAACTGGAATGAATTTGAAAGCGAGAATCCTGCCTTCTGCGCTTCTGCGCTTTCGCTCTCCCTCTCTCCCCCTCTCCCTCTCCCTCACCCTCTACCTCTCCCTCTTTCTTTATGTGTTTCTTTGTTTCTCGTTTCCTCTCTTTCGCTCTCTCTCCCTAGTACGAAGAGAACGCGCATAGACCGTAAGCGCTCCCCAGGAGCAGGGGCCTCCCGAGAAGCTCTACAGGACTTCTCCGAGGCCACGAGGGGCCTGTCAGCAGGCGCGAGGCCTTCAGAGACGCCCCGCCGCCCTACTGAGCAGGCCCGCCCCCTCCTTCTCCTCCTCCTCCTGCTGACGGCTCTCCTCCTCCTCCTCCTGCTGACGGCTCTCCTCCTCCTCCTCCTCCTCCTCGCTCCTCGCCCCTCCTCGCTCCTCCTCGCTCCTCGCCCCTCCTCGCTCCTCCTCGCTCCTCCTCGCTCCTCCTCGCTCCTCCTCCTCCTCCTCCTCCTCCTCCTCCTCTCTCCTTCTTCTTCTTCTTCTTCTTCTTCTTCCTCCTCCTCCTCCTCCTCCTCCTCCTCCTCCTCCCTCCTCCTCCTCCTCCTCCTCCTCCTCCTCCTCCTCCTCCTCCTCCTCTCCTCCTCCTCCTCCTCCTCTCTCCTCCTCCTCCTCCTCCTCCTACCTCCTCCTCCTCCTCCTCCTCCTCCTCCTCCTCCTCCTCCTCCTCCTCCTCCTCCTCCTCCTCTCCTCTCGCTCCTCCTCCTCGCTCCTCCTCCTCGCTCCTCCTCCTCCTCCTCCCTCCTCCTCCTCCTCTCCTCCTCCTCCTCCTCCTCCTCCTCCTCCTCCTCCTCCTCCTCCTACTCCTCCTCCTCGCTCCTCCTCGCTCCTCCTCCTCCTCCTCCTCTTCGCTCCTCCTCGCTCCTCCGCCCTCCTCCTCGCTCCTCCTCGCTCCAGCTCCTCCTTCTCCCCCTCTTCCCTCCGAGCAGGCCCGCCCCATCTCCCTCTTCCCCCCCCCCCCTCGGGCGCGCCCCCTCCGATCGACGGCACGGGCCCTCTCCGAAGAGCGCCCCGAAGAAGGGGGACCCTGGAGCTTCGGCGCGAACTCTCATGGGAGGGGGGGGGCGATCACTAAATGGGGAGGGGCGAGAAGTGGGGGGGGGCGACAATACAGTTGGGCTGCTGAAAGAAGGAACGCTAAATAAGGAACGAAGCCCCTTATTGGCCCCGTAAGCGCCTCCGTTCCCCAGGAGGGCAAGAGGAACAGCACTGGGGGAACCTAAGGAACATCGAGCCCTTATTTCAGCGTCTTGACTGTACATGGGGGGCCATGACTGGGGAGGAAAGGAGGGAGGGCCTCGAGAATGGGGGGGGGCGACAGATGTGGGGGGAGACGTGGGGGGGAGAGAACAAGAGCCCCCGGCGCGCGGAGCGGGGGGGCGATAAACGGGGGGGAAGACAGGTGCCTTATTTCGGACCCTGAAGGCACCCTTCCGTGTCCCAACAGGGCCCCTCTATAGGGCCCCTTTTCGGCAGCCCTCGCTGCCCCCCCCCCCCCCCATTTATCGCTCCCCCATTGCGCGCCCTCCGAGGCGCAAGGGGGGGGGAGGCCTCCGGGGCCCTCCAGGCTGGCCAAGCCCCCGACGTCGTGCTGTTTTTCGCGCGGACCCCTGGAGAACACGACCCCTTCGAGCGCGTAGTTTACGATTCGCGACAACGGCCGTTGCCGGGAATGCTCCCCCCCTCGCCCCCCCCCCGCTCGGCAGCAGAACGGTTCGCGCCAGCGCCGTTTTGGAGGTGGCGAACTCCCAGCGCTGTACTGGGTGGGTGAAACGCAGTGAGGTGGGAGGAGGAGGAGGAGGAGGAGGAGGAGGAGGAGGAGGAGGAGGAGGAGGGGGAGGAGGAGGAGGAGGAGGAGGAGGAGGAGGAGGAGGAGGAGGAGGAAGAGGAGGAGGAGAGGCGGCGCTGGCGCGAATCGTGACGTTACCAGGCCACCCCCTCCCGGTTACGGCCGCTTCGCCAGCGGTTCAAGAAAAACGGGCAACTCCCCGGGGCCCGCTGGTCCTCCCGCCTCGTTGCCGGACGGCCCTGGGGCCTGGGGACCCAGGGGCCGGCAGCTGTCAAAACCCGTGCGTCGTGATCGTCAGCACGACGCGAATGGTCTGGGAAGAGCTGCTCGCTCGGCGATCCCTGGAAGGAGAGGCCCTTAGCGCCCCAGATCAGAGGCCTCCCAGATGGTGTTGGAGCATATGGGGTCCGAGAATAGCGCTGCATCGTCGATTGCACCAACGATGCGTTGGCGATGCATCGGCAACGTCGGCGATACATCTGCGACGTCAGCGTGGAGAAAATCGGGCTACACATCCAGCCGCATCGCCGATGCATCGGCGATGCGGCGAGGCCATCTCTGGAGCGCCGCGCCCCCAAAACCGATTACACGCAAGAGTCCCCATATGCAAGGGTGACCTTTGGTGCGCGGCTTTCAGGGGTCGCGTGGGGGCTAACTCCAAGCGAGCAAGCCATTGGGGAGGTGGCCCTGTGAGCCCGCGCCAAAGATCACTCTGGCGAAGGATCAAGCTGACGCGAAAAGCGAAGACGAAAAGATGGGCCCCGGAGGGACGCGGGGACCAGAGTAGGGTGGATTGAGACATTCGGAGTTCAGAATCGGTCCCTGGACCCCTCCCGGGGTCAAAATTGGAGGCGAGCCGGGGGGGAAAGTGAGAAGGAAAAGGCCTTCTCAGAAGGCTCGGAAATCCCCCACCCCTCTGAACAGTTCTCTCAGCTTTCCCCAAAGACGCAGAAAACTTCTTACAGGCGCCAGGCCTTCTGAGAAGTCCCGCCCCCTTCTGAGAGGGCGCTCAGAAATACATTCGCAGACGCCCTCCGATGACCTGTGCGTGCGCCTACAGGGAGGGCGGCGGTATAAAAAGTCGCTGGCTCCCAATGGTGATTCATACACCGCCACCTTCCCCTGAGGTCTGGGAACAATCCATTGAAGAGTGGTTGTGTCTACTGTGGGAGCTCGACCACAAGAAACCCTCCACAAGAAACCCAACCCTGAGACCCCATGACGTCCATTGATTCTTGGTGTGGAAACGTCACGCTTTCCATAGCAAGACCATCGAAACCCAAGAAACCTGGGGCACCTTGGAAGCAATCGGGTGTCTCTTGGCATGGGCTTCCACCGTATATTATTTGAGGCGCATGGGAGGAGACCGAGCAGACCCTAAACCTTTGATGTGGGCCTGAAGGGTCTCGAACTACAAATGTCTCAAACGGCCCTCCTCTGGGGAAACCCAAATGCACCGATACCGCTACTCCCCGGCCCGCTCCCTGGGTGCGTTCTGACCAGGACTTCGAGGCGACTGCAGCGGTGGCGACGAGGGCCTCTCGGCAGGCACAGGAAGGGGAAAACGAGTGCGGGGTAGGGGCATGGGCATATCTTCCTCCTCTGCTCCTCTGGGGGGAGGCCCCCCGAGGTCCTCCAGGCTGGCCAGGCCCTCCGCGTGCGAGTCGAGCTCGGCGCGCGCCCCGCTGGCGAGGCCGACGAACTCGTCGGGCGCGGCGGGGGCGCCGCTGAAGTCCTGCTCGCGCGGGCGCGCGGCCCGAGCACGGGCGGCGGTCCTCCGCTACAGCATGCGCGCGCGAAAATATGTTTAAACAGGTAGGATATGTACATACGCATGTGTATATATAGACACATACATGTATACCCCTCGGTCGAAAGAAGTAGGTAGAAACATGAAGTAGGAAGGTGGATGAAGTAGATCGGGTTCGGGGTTACCTAGAGAGTAGCACAACTCAGCCAAAGCATATCGATTATTGAAGTACGAAGGCGCTGGCAATAGATTGGGTTCAGGGCATCCAAGAATACCGACTTTCAACGACCGGTGGGTACAGTCGCCCAGCATCAGATGCGCGATAAGAATGCAAGAGCCTTGGACGCCCATGTCGAAGCTTTTCGAGCGGGGTGCGGCCAACGAAGGAGGCCAAGGATGGGCCGAAGGGGCAAGGATGCAAGGGTACCCTTGTGAAGGTTGCCCCATTCTTACTATGCGGGATGACTGCTTGTGTATATATAAATATATATATATATATATATAATACAACCATCGCGCCGGCATCGCGCGCGCAGGTTCTAGCAGGCCCCAGGCCTTGACGCGTTCACTGCTCCACTGTAGTAGTGAACCACAGATGGCTTGAACGGGAGATGAAAAATTGCCCGTAACGCTGAACGCATAATGGGCAGTGGGAAATCCATGCATGCCAATCCAAATTTCGGAAGGCTTTCGGGGAAGATGGTTGCGTAGAGGGGGGGGGCATGATGAATCGGGTTCCCAGAAGGCCTTCTGGGAACATGGGTGTTCGGGGCATCTTGGGGAGCCTGTGGGGGCGTGCCGTCGTCGTCGTCGCCGTCGTCGTCGTCGTCGTCGTAATGTCGTCGTCGCCTCTTGGGGCGCGCCGTCGTCGTCGTCGTCGTCGTCGTCGTCGTCCATGTCTTCGTCGGTTCGTCGTCTTCGCCGTCGTCATCGTCGTCGGTACAAGAGGGCACTTGGGGCAACTTTGTGCGAAACGATCCGCGGAGGGCCGCGAGAAGGCGATCAGATAAGTTCCCAGTCAACTTCCCAGACAACTCTCCGGTAAGGCGATGCTACTTCGGAGCATCCGGAGACTCTCGGGTCCATGATGAGGCTCTCTGGGGACATGATTTGTCGGGGTGTGTTGGGGGGCCTCGTAGGCGCTCGCTGGGGGCCTCTTGGGGGGCTCTTGGGGCTTCCCGTGGGCCTCTTGGGGGCCTCACGGGGCTTCGTGGGAGCCTTCTGGTGGCCTCCGAGGGCCTACTGGGGGCTTCTAGGGCCAGAGACCTCGAAATATCGGTTCGCGGTCCCCCTCTGGGCCCCCTCTTGGGGCGCTCTTGGGGCACACTTGGGTTGTCTGGGGAGCCTCCTGGGCCGTCTTGGGGCCTTCTTCGGGAACTCGCGGGCCATCTTGGAGCGATCTGAAGGGCCTCCGAGGCCGTGAGGGAGCGCTGGGAAGCGGGAAAAACGAGAATGCCCAATCCTTCAAAAACCCTCGGAAAATAAATGATTCTTGCCTCAGATAAATGACGCTGATCAAACGGATGATATCAGACGTCCGGAGCGTTGCTTTGACGACGGGCCTGGAAATCCACCCAGACAAAACGAAGATATTACACAACCTTCGCGATGAGAAGCCGACAACTGCACCGGAATTCGCCGTCGTTGACGACATGCAGATCGAAGTGTTGCGTTTCTTTGGAACACAGAAATATGTTGGCAGACAGTTTACATTATGTGACTAAGCAGAGGTAGAGATAGAGTCGCGGATCAAGGCTGCTTGGAGAAAGTTCGGCTTATTCAAGCAAGAGCTCACTACCAAGGAGCACTCTGCGAATGACCGGCTGCGCCTACTCAACGACGTCGTTGGTGCAACTATGTTGTACGGGTGTGCGCCGTGGACACTCACGGCAGAACTGGAAGGCAAAATTCGGGCAACCCAACGCCGAATGTTACGTATGATTGTGAGTACGCCGCGACGCCGGTACATTGACGCGGCGGACAACGAAGAGAAGGACGACAAAGCGTCCGCACAGAGCGACACCGACAGCAACACACACACATTCCACACGTTCGTCCTCCAATTCGTCTTCGGACATTCGTACATGCATCGAGCCATGGCAAACTGGTTCAAACAAACATCACATATTGTGAAACATATATTATTTCAAGCTGGCTACGAGCATTGGGTTACAACGCGCAGACGACGGAAATGGCGCTGGGTCCTAAACTGGAGCTCGACAAACACACGTGGAGTTGGAAAGTCGCGATGTGGGACCCACCCTGCTGCGACGTGCGTGATCGGAGGCTACCACAACGGCCTCGGATGCGCTGGTTCGACGACACATGTCAGACAGTACGATGTGATCATACTGATGGGGTCTGGGAAACGCACGCCTACGATGGCGAGCTGTGGGCGGTATGGAACCTATGTGCGTACACACATCCAACTGAGGCGCCTCAGAATGGAGGATGACGACTAATAAATGACCGGGGGTCGTGTCCACGCGGCGGCGCCCGGAATGACGATTTAAAAAACCGGCCGCGGGCTGGGAAACTTTTTCTTTCATCGTTCTCCTCCAGTCAGAAAATTGTGCAGAAATAGCAGGAAACTACTTGTTTAATAGTTCCCTCCCATTTTTGTATTAATCGTCATCCCGCATTACCTCCAGCTCCAGCTCCCACTTTCCGTCTCCAGCTTCCATCTTTGCGAGCACGGCCCCCATTTCTCATCCGACTCCGGCGCGCCCACTCCGCCAACTTGGGCTCTCATCTTTCCGACTGCAGCTCAGCGCCCCTCACACGGGGACTCCACTAACGGGTACTTTGGCCAGTGACCCAGCGAACCCAACCCTTCCCAATGTGGGCAACGCTGCAATGCCAGAAAAAAGGCCCTAAAGTGGCAACTTTCGGCAACATTTCAAAGTGCCCGTTAAAGAGTACCCGTTACGGTGCCGTTGAGCAGCGCCCGTGTCTCCAAGCCCGGCGAATAATTTTCCGACTCCAGTGCCGATCTCTCCGACTCCGGCTCCCAACTTTCCGATTCCAGTTTCCATCTTTCCGACTTCGGCCCCCAATTCTCTGACTCCAGCTCACAATTTTCCGACTTCGGCTCCCAATTCTCTGGCTCCAGCTTCCGACTTTTCGACTCCGACGCCCGTCTCCCCGACTCCGGCTCTCGACTTTCCGACTCCAATTCCCATCTCTCGGCTCCCAATTTTCCGACTCCAATTCCCTGCTCCCCGACTCCGGCTCCCAACCGACTCCAGCTCCAATCTCTCCGACTCCGGCTCCCAGCTCTGCGACTAAGGATCCCAACTTCCCGACTCCGGCTCCCACTTTTCCGACCCCAGCTCCTATCTCTCTGAGTCAAGCTCCCAACTTTCCGACTTCGACGCCCGTCTCTCCGACTCTGGCTCCCAGCTTTCCGACTCTGGCTGCCAGCTTTCCGATTCCACACCGGCCTTCCGACTCCAGCGTCCAAGTTTCCGATTCCAGTTCCCTACTTTCCGACTTCGGCCCAGTTCCGAGTTCAGAACTGAGGCGCCCCGGCGCACCCGCCGCTCCCTACAAAGGACACCAGGGTCTCGCGACCGATGGGCGGCCAAACGTGGGCCACCCACCTCGCCTTGAAACAATAAGGAATGCGCCAGGGTCTGGGCCCCAGGAAGACGTTCCTTACCCAACGCCGCCGCCGTGTACATATATATATATATATATATATATATGTACAGATATGCATTGTAAATATCGACATATGCACACATACATATACCGACATACTTTACAACATATATATACACATGCACACAATAATTTAATTCATGCACACACATATATACATATCTATACAAGACTGAATTGGCCCTTCGCGCCACGCACCATGTTCCTTGTAGTTTCGAATGCGAGTGGCTGGGCTAGCATGAAGCAGGGCCTCCTCCTCCTCATTCTCCTCCTCCCCCTTTTCCTCCTCTTCATCCTCCTCATCCTCATCCTCTTTCTCTTCTCTCCCCCTCTTCCTCTAATTCCTCCTCCTTCTCCTCCTTCTCCTCTACCTCCTCCTCCTCCTCCTCCTCCTCCACCTTCTACAGGACATGCTACTTTCGGCATGCGCGCTGCTGGGCTGCCGGCTTGACCCCCAAAGAGGCCCAAGGCTGGCCCAAGAAGGTCCAAATAATTGGAAGTCAATGTACACCCATTGGAAAATCAATGCTTTTGGCCTTCTCGACTTTTCGCTTACGATCGGCTCTTGAGGCGCCGAGATAGCCCCAGGACGGCTCCAAATGAGTCCCCAGACGAGCCACAAAAAGGCCCAAAGCTGGCTCAACATGGCCCAGAGTCGGAAATCGGAGAAAACCAACTGGAAAAACAATGTGTTCGGCCTTCTCGCTAACCCTTTCCAGTTGGCTCGAGAGGCGTCAGGACCCAGGATGGCCTCAGAGAGGCGTAAGCCGAGACCCACATTGGCGCAAGGCTGGCCGAAGATTGCCCCAAGAAGCTTTTTGTCTTCTCGCCTTGTCGCTTCCGATTGGCTCTCGAGGCATCAAGATAGGCCCAGGACGGCTCCAAATGAGTCCCCAGACGAGCATATGGCTCCAGAGAGGCGCAAGCCGAGGCCCACAGAGGCCCAAGGCTGGCCGAAGAAGGCCCAAAGAATTGAAATTCAATGACACCCATCGGAAAATTGATGTTTTTGGCCTTCTCGCCTGTTCGATTACGATCGGCTCTTGAGGCGTCAAGATAGCCTCAACGCGGCTCCAAATGAGTCCCCAGGCAAGCCCCAAAGAGGCCCAAGGCTGGCCGAAGAATGCTCGGAGAATTGAAAATCAATGAAAACCAATTGGGAAAAACATGTTTTTGGTCTTCTCGCCTCTTCGCTTACGATCGGCTCTTGAGGCGTCGAGATAGCCCCAGGACGGCTCCAAATGAGTCCCTAGACGAGCCCCAAAGAGGCCTAAGGCTGGCCCAAGAGGGCCCGGAGTCAAAAATCAGAGAAAACCCAAGGCGCAAGACAGGCCCGAGGATTCGAAATTCGTTTGGGGAGGGGGTGTCAAGAGGAGTGCGCTCTTTCCGGGGTCCCCGTCCCCCCCCAACAAAAATGAATAGGAATGTATATATATATATATATATATATATATATGTATGTGCGTGTGTATATATATATATATGTATATGCTGCGGGTCCCGGAAGCCCTGAAGCCAAACACGTTGTCGTCTCTTGGGGGAGAAGCTCTTGCTTCCGCCGCCTTCCCCCGGCCTTCCGCCGGCGGAGGAAGCCTTGCTGCACCTCCCCCGGCCTTCCACCGGCGGAGGCAGAGATGCCAACTCCTTCGATCCTCGAAGGCAAGGCCCTTTTGTGGAACGCTCAAATCTGTATCGGTCGCCGCGCCCTTTGCTCTCGACGCAACCAAGTGTAGACGACGCCGACACCACGGCGAGCCCACGGCAAGCCCAGCGCCCCGCGCCCGATGCGGCGCAACCTGCACCGCGATAAACCCACGGCGAACGCACCGCGTCCGAGGCGGCGTCTGCCCTGGTGGCCGCGGCGCCCTCCCCAAGACGGGGGGCCGCAGGTCGGAACAAACGGCGCAACGACATGCACGTGGCGGATTTCGGAGACGCTGAATCCAAAAACGTTGTCATCTTGTGGGGGCACATTTTTCACTGCTGCGCCCTTCCGCCGGCTTTTGCCGGCGTGCCGGCGGAGGCGGTCTCGTTTTACTTCCAACCTTCCGCCGCCTTCCGCCGCGGATGCGATGACAACTCCTTCTATCCTCGAAGGCAAGGCCCTTGTTGGAACGCCCCATGTATGTATTATTAGGCGACTTGGAAGACCGTTTCACGATGTTTGAACTCGCTGGCTGGTGAGTCTCTGCACTCAGCTCTGCCCGCAAGCGCCTCGCTGTCGCGCCCCAAAGGCATGTTCCAATATTACGGGCAAAGCAGCCCGCCCACCGCCGGACGAAGTGCGAAGCCTCCGCGGTCGCCCCCTCAGTCAGGCTGCCGCCCGGAAACCGAAACTCTCCCGAAGTGATTGCGCAGATCCCTGCGCCTATCCGCGCAGAGGAGGGGTCACCTGCTGCCGCCTTGCTATAGGACACCTTGAAGGCGCATTTATCGTTGACCTGTGAGGGTCCTGAGGTACAACACAGCTTCTGTGGGTCCCTGGGGCCACCGGGGATAAAAAATACCGTGGGGCACCTGTTGGTAAGCCAATTCCAAATTTGATGTGCGTACTCTACACGATCGGCGGTTCTTTTTAATCCGTTAGGAGGAAGCTCCTGCGAGGTCTTCGTGGGAACAAGTGAGAGCTGCTCGATTGAGGGGGGCATCAAGCTGGTTGAATGCCGAATTAGCTCAAGATCACACCGAATTGAGCGGCAATGAGCCGGACTAAAACGGTTTTTTGACAGCGGATATACCAGCGCCGATACTAATTTGACCTCCCAAGAGCTTCAACATGATATCCGTATTGTACCCCAGCCCACGCCACACAAGGGGCCACAATAAGGGCATGGATAGAACACAACTCCCTCTTGAGGCAAACGTGATTGTCCGCTCCCTACCCCGATTGGCGTCCAGACTGGGAGGCAACAGTAGTATGGATGACGACTCGATCTCCGATCCTCTCCTCCCCTTCCTGTCCCGGTCATCCACCTCCTCAACTCCGGCTCTGCCCCCTCAACGGGCCCCTCCACGACCTCTCGAGGTGGAAGATGCGAAAGCCGCGATGGATGCGATTAGGAGGCGCCTTCGGCTGCAGCCAGCAGCGTTGCCCCCCCTCGACGTCCCCCTCCACACGCCTCCTTCATGCAAGATTCCGCTGCCGTCCTCACCGCTGCAAGCCTGACTCCTGACTCGACCTGTACGAAAGACATTGGATGCATCTGTAGCCTCCACGCGCTTGTAATCGCGGCCGTTTGCCAATATGCTGCCACACGCACGCGAGACGGCTGCTTTCGAGGGCGATGGGAAGCCTGTGCGGAAACTAAATGGCGAGTGCCCCGAGGTCACTTGCGGAAAAGTGGGCGAGAGTGCTCTTGCTGAACGAGAGAGCCACCGTCGAGACGAAGAAGTCTACTATCTTGTCCAGGGCCCCGCAAGCCACATGCCATGTGCAATAGCAAAGCGATCTGCATCCCTTTCCCTTCAACAACAAACCACCGACTGAATCCTCGTGGGAGAAGGCCTCCCGCAACGCCACGATGGCAGCCTCCAATGCATCGGCAACTCATAATCAAATGACAAACTGCCAGAATAGGACGTGGCGTCTCCGCCGCGGGGGTGATGATGAAAGTCAGATCATGAAGCACTGTCTTCTGAAAGAAAGAACCAACTACATGCTCAACAACTGATTGTATTTGGGGATCTCCCCACACAACTCAAATCAAATTAGGAAGTACCGTGAGTGTTGCTATGCTGCGAGCTGGGCCCAGACACGCCTCGACGATACAGTAGGAGTCCGACCACAAGAAACCTTCCACAAGAAACCCAACCCTGAGATCTGAGAATCCCAACCCTGAAACCTCCTCACGCTTTCCATCGCAAAACCATCGAAACTCAAGAAACCCAGGACACCCTGGAGGCAAGCAGGGTGTGCCTTGGCATGGGTTTCCACTGTAGCGGCCTTTCAGGAGGCGGCAGAGCTTCTGTGAGGCCCTGCAGCCTTTTCAACACGCCTTCTGAGCCTCCTGCAAAGTCACAGGCGGCCTCAGAGAAGGCAGTGATGGCTGCTGGGGGGCCCCGCTGCATTCAGAGGAGCCTTCCGAGCCCCCTGCGAATCCACAGGGGACCTCTGAGAAGGCGGTGGGGGTTTCTGAAAGGTCCCGCGCCCACTTCCGAGAATCCCTGCCCACTCTGCATTCCCCGCCCGGGGACGCGGCCGACCCCTTCGTCTCCCCTCCCTCCTCTGGGAGGTGTCCAGAAGGGCTGGCGTGCTCGGGACAGCTTACCCCAATGAGAGAAGTACCAGAACAGAACCAGAGGCAAGAAGATGTCCAACGACGCTGCTCGGCATCTCCTCTCCAATAACTTCCTCCAACCCTCCGGTGGGGAGACAAAGCGGTACTCCTAACGCTACGCCACGGACCTTTCTCAGCCCAGGGTGCGTTCGCACCAAGATCTCGAAAAGAATCCAGCCGTGGCGACGACAGCTCTTCGGGACGAGCAGCAGTCTCGGCACCTCCCACGAGACCCGACGTCGCGACGCAGTGCGACATCTCGAAACCATCTCGACCAGGGACCCGGGCTGCACGGTTTCCACCGGGGCCGTAGGCGACCCGAGAAAGAGGAGGATGAGGAGGAGGTGGAGGAGGGGAGTGGGGTGGAGGAGATGGAGGAGGAGGTGGAGGAGGAGGAGGAGGAGGAGGAGGAGGAGATGGAGGAGGAGCCGGAAAAAGGGGGGAGGAGGGAGGAAGAGGAGGGAGTAGGAGGAGGAGGAGAAAGAGGAGGAGAGGAGGAGGAGGAGGAGGATGAGGAGGAGGAGGAGGAGTAGTTAGTAGGAGGAGGAGGGGGAGGAGTAGGAGGAGGAGCAGGAGGAGGAGAGGAGGACGAGGAGGAGGAGGAGGAGGAGGAGGAGGAGGAGGAGGAGGAGGAGGACGGGTCGCCCAAGCCCTTCGGAGAAACCCTCCACCCTGGGCCAAAGCCTGTCTGGGGCCCGTTTATAACGGGGCCAAGAACCGTGTGAAGGTCCCGAGGCCTTGGGCCGGGCGAACACGCCCGCTGTCGAGAAAAATACAAAACGACGGGATCTCGGGGCTTTCTCCTCTGTAAGACGAAGCCAGGACGAGGATACATCCGGGTAAAGATTACACCAGAGAAAAATCCCAATCGGTGGATGGTTTGGTCGACAAGGGGATCGACCAGGAACCCAGGAACCTGGAACCCACCGAAATCGGCCCCGAACCAATAACCAGGAACCCAAGAACCTGGAACAGGGAACCGGGAACCCAGCCGGCCACCAAAATCGGCGGGACACTTTCGCCAATCTTTCAATTTCCGCTAGGACCCCTTCAGTGCAAGCACTGGTTGGGGAATAAACCGAGCATCCCCGAGATCTGGCGGTTCTGGAGGATGTCGCGGGCGCCGCGGCCTTCCCAGAGCGCTCTGAGAGCGTTCCGGAACGCTCTGGAACGGCTTTATTCACATCCTAGCCCCGTCCGATTTTGATCAGAAGCTTTTTCTGTCAGCGGCGATTTGGGTCCAAGACGCGGTCGGGACAGCCGAGGGACACATCGGAGCCAAATTGGGCACAAAGGCGCCCGAACCATGACCGGTGCTTCTGATTACAAACGCCCGTCATGTGTCGGGTTCCGAAAACTGCGAACCAAAAAGACTTGCCATCTCCTTTGAAGTCGATCTGTAATTCCGCCGGCTCCCGCCGAGCTCTCGCCGGCTTCCGCCAGCGGAGCCGCCAACGTTTTTGCTTCCGCCGCCTTCCGCCAGCCTTCCTCGTGCTCACGCATACACCCTGGTAGAGTTACTCAGATGTTTGCTCGGGGGCCCCGAGAGGGAAAAACAAGCAACAACACCAACAACAATACCACCAACAACAGCAACAACAACAATAAAAACACCACCACCAACAACAACACCAACAACGACAACAACACCACCAACAACAGCAACAACAACAACAATAACAGCACCACCGCCAACAACAACACCGACAACAACACCGACAACAACAACAACACCACCACCACCAACAACAACAGCAACAGCATCAGCAACAACAACACCACCACCACCACCACCACCAACAACAACGACATCACCAACACCACCAACACCACCAACAACAACAACACCAACACCAACAACAACGACAACAACAAACAAACGATATCACGGCGCAGCATGGCGCAGCAGAATTCCCAGAGACCTCGAACTGAGCCAGGGCTCGTAGGGGGCACGGAGGCAGGGGGGGGGGGGGCAGGAGCCGCCGATGGGGCAAACCTCCCCGCACGGCCCTGCTCTCGAGCACCCTCGCCAGCCTGCCGCCGCCTTCCGTCGAGAAGGAAACATCGACTTGGCTGTTCATTCTCGGGACCTTCCTGGAGCCACTTGCTCCACTCGTGCGCCGAAGCTGCGTCGAGCGTTCGTCGATTCGAGTCGACCTCGAGACGATCCTTAGTCCAATTTGAGTCGAACTTGAGTCGGACTGGGGTCGATCTGGGGTCGAACAGACCCGTTAGGTGGGCCCCAAGAAAAGCCCCCCCCAACGAGCATCCGAACGAACTCCTCCGATCCTCGACGGCGAGAACCATCTCGCTTTCCTCCTCCTCCTCCTCCTCCTCCTCCTCCTCTTCCTCCTCCTCCTCCTCCTCCTCCTCCTCCTCCTCCCCCTCCTCCTCCTGTTTTCCCTTCTCGTCTTCCCCCTTCGATCCTCGACGGCAAGGCGCATCCTCCTCCTCCTCGTTTTCCTCCTCCTCCTCCTCCTCCTCCCTCCTCCTCCTCCTCCTCCTCCTCCTCCCTCCCCCCTGTTCTCCCTCCTCCTCCTCCCTCCTCCCCTGTTCTCCCTCCTCCGTCTCCTCCTCCTCCTCCTCCTCCTCCTCCTCCTCCTCCTCCTTTCCTCCTCCTCCTCCGTCCTCCTCCTCCTCCTCCTCCTCCTCCCCTTCTCCTCCTCCTCCGTCTCCGTCTCCTCCCCCTTCGATTCGATACCTCGACGGCGAGGCACCTCCTCCTCGGTTTCCTCCTCCTCCCTCCCTCCTCCTCCTCCTCCTCCTCCTCCTCCTCCTCCTCCTCCTCCTCCTCCTCCTCCTCCTCCTGTTCTCCCTTCTCTTCCTCCCCCCTCGACCTCGTCGGCGAGGCACCTTCGCCTCGTCGTCGTCCTCCTCCTCGTCCTCCTCCTCCTCCTCCTCCTCCTCCTCCTCCTCCTCCCCCTCCCCCGCTCGATCCTCGACGGCGAGGCCCTTCCTTGCAAGGCCTCGCGCGGGGCGCCCCCCGCGCCCCCCCCAAGGCCAGGCAGGTCGCGCGAGCCCCCCACGCGGCTCGCGGGGAGGGGCCGCTGAGGGCCCCCCCGCCCCGCGAGGCCTCTCGCCGACCGCGGGGCCCACCGGGCGCAGGCCGCGTGGCGCTCCCAGGGGCCGGCAGGAGAGAGGCCGCGGGTGAGGTCGGACGACGCCACAGGGCGAAACCCAGGACGAAGAGGGCACCCTGCTCCTCCTGCTCCTCCTGCCCCTCCTCCTCCTCCTCCTCCTCCTCCTCCTCCTCCTCCTCCTCCTCCTCCTCCTCCTCCTCCTCCTCCTCCTCCTCCTCTTGCTCCAGGACCCAAGGAGCATCGAGCCCCTGGCGAACCCAACTTGTTGCTTACCTCAGCGTCTTGACTGTACCCCCGGAAGCATGAAGCCAATGCCGCCTCATCGAACGTTAAGGGAGCGACGCCAACACGGACTGGGGATCCGTGGATCTGGCGCGTGGGCGCCACATCTGCACGTCGGGGGAGTACCCACCGAAGCATGAAGCCAACGCCGCCTCATCGAACGTTAGGGGGCGACGCATCTGGGGCCCCTGGATCTGGCGCGTAGGCGCCACATCGGCAGGTCGGGGGAGTACAGTAGGGGTTCGACCACAAGAAACCTTCCTTCCACAAGAAGCCCAGCCCTAAGACCCCAGGACGTCCATCGATTTCTGGAGTGAAAACGTCACGCTTCCCATAGCAAACCCATCGGAACCCATGACACCCAGGGCACCCTGCAGGCAAGCAAGGACCCAAAAGAACATCGAGCCCCTTGCGCACCCGATGTTATTGCTTACCTCAGCGTCTTGACTGTACCCCCCGAACCGTCAAGCCACTGCCGCCTCACTTGGCGAAAGAACGCGCCCCTACTTTATGTAAGGCCACGGGACACGACATCCGCGCGCGCGTTGAGTTAGGTCGGGCCTGTCCCCCTACATGGGGATGTTGGAGGAAGCATTGAAGATATCCCACAAATGCGCCAAAAATGCTCGAGAATACTCAAAAAATTGTCCCCTGTTTTTTAAAACTATTTTTGAATATTCCCCCTGTAGAGGGACAGGCCCGACTTAAGCGTTGAGATCCGTGCCTGCGCTCCCTCTCGACGCTCGTGGCTGCCTGCCAGACCACCCCAGCCCAGCCCGAAGCCCCGAATTTCGGGGAGGGGGGGGTGACTGCTTCCATCTAAGACGAAGGCAAGACGAAGATAGATTCGGGTACGGATGAATCGAGAATCTCTGAGATCCCGCGGATCTGGAGGATGTCTCGGGCGCCGCGGCCTGAGAGCGTTCCGCAACGCTCTGAGACGGATTTATCCACGTCCTAGCCCCGCCCGACCATTTATGTTCTCTCAATGGTTCCGGATGACCCCCCTCCCGCACAGGGAATGGAGGGCAACTTGGGTCCTGCAGGTCGGGACGGGGTGGTTTGGTGGGTAGTGGGTCAGGCGTTAGGATGGGGGGGGCCGGCTCAGGGGGGAACCCTCGCGCTGGGATCGGCGACACATCGCCGACAGATCGGCGAACATGCCCCCGATAACGAATCCGCACGGTCCTGGGAGGGGTGGGGCTACAGTCAATCCGTATCACAAGGACGCGCGAGAACGATGCACGGGCCTCGGAGGGGGCCACATCGACACTTTGGAAGCGGTGCACGGCCAGCGAGAGCGCGCAAGGATGGGCTGAAGGGACAATGATGCAAGGGTAACCTTTCGGGAGCGGCCAAGAGGGGGGTGTCCAAGAGGGTGGGGTGCAAATCATGACCAGCGGCATGTGCGCGGCCCAGCGGGGGGACCAGGGACGTAATGAAATAAGAAGAGTCGCCATGAAATCTGAGGAAAAATCATGGCCCGCGCCATGAAATCCCCCCCCCCCCCTTGTCACCCCCCTCTTTGCCGCTCCCGAAATGATGCAAGGGTAACCTTGGAGAGTCGCTCCTCCCTCCTTCCTGTGCGGGTTGGCTGCATCGGGACCCCGCCCGCGAGGCCTCCTGGCGGGCTGTGCGCCGCATGGTATTATCTGATAGGGATGGTGGAGGTTTAGGAATTCGCCGCGCATCAGGGATTTTAGGGATTCTAGTATCTCTAGGCTCTTGGTTCTTGGTGGGCGATCTGGGGTCGACGCACCCTGCCCCCGAACCTGGCCCCCCGCCCCATGGCGTGGCGTCGCCATCGCTCGGACGTCCATTCCCTGTGTTAGATTCGGCTTCGTGCGTGTTTTTTTCTTCGCCAGATGATCAAAAGGATGCTCCTCGATGGTCCTCCCCGAAAGAACAACGCACACGTCCGAGCGATGCCAGGTGGCACCCGGGCAGGACCAGGCCGAGGCCCGGCGACCTGCGCCAGCCGGCCGCGGCCAGGAGGCGCTGCCGAACGTCGCGCCCACCCCCCCCCCATCGGACACCCGGATCTGCGCCGATACAGTATTCGGCCTGCCCTAAGGAACGATGAGTAAGGAACGAAGCCCCTTTTTTCCACGTGAACCTAGAACATCCGAAGAAACACCAGGGGGTCCCGCCGCCAAAAAGGTGGCGGAACTCATGCAAACCGAAGGAACGACCGAGCCCCTTTTGAAAAACAGGTGATCCTTATTCATACCGGACCCTGTATTGGGGAATCGAACTTTATACACCGACGCTGTTTCCAGCCCTGCATCGAAATTCGCGCTGGGGAGCGGATCCTGGTGTATCCGGGACCCTGGTGTATACAAGTGTCGCTGCTCCCCTGGGACCTTGGGGGAAGAAGTATACACCACACCACCCCGACGTCGTCCCAGACCCTGAAAAAGTCGTCGGGTTGAAAAACCGCCCGCCACTGGTAGTGAATATGCTTCAGTTTCCGATTTTGTCGGGCGTTGCTTGGTTAGAACAAAAAAAGAAGTGCAAAAGACATGAGTTTCGACGCTCCACGCAGATTTCTTGGACCTGCGCCAGACCACCCTCCCTGGCGCGCGGAGCGCGCCAGGGGCGGCGCCAGAGGCGCCGCCAGGGGGCCCCAGCGCCGATCCAAGAAATCCGCCCGCCACCGGGTAATGTATACGTTGCTGTTGTCACCCGGGAGGGTTTCTTGAACCTCGCCCCCCTCTGGGACTCTCTGTGGGGCGCCAGGCCATCCAGAGTGGATCTGGGACGGAAGCCTGCCCTCGGGGAAGGGATCGGACCTCTGTTAGGAGGCAACCACTGCGAGGCTTTCGTCGGAAAGATTAAAGAGGGTTAAGCCCCATTTGGGAGCTATTACGCTGGAATGGGCCTCGGATTAAGCGGGGTTAAGCCGGATTAAGCGGGATCAAGCGGGATTAAACGGGATTAAGCGGGATCAAGCCGGATTAAGCCGGACTTCGGACCAGTGCAAAATCAAAATTTGACCTCCCAGGAGTTGCATCCCAACCTCTGGGTCCGATTGAACTAAATGTCGGATCTCTGGGCGTACGGGCGTCCACGGAGGCAGCAAAGCCGAACACCGACCAAACCGACAGCGAAACCGGAGCCGACCGAGCCGAAGGACCAAGTTCAACGTAGACGCACGCAACGGCGCAATGACCGACCGAGCCGGACACATCGAACGCAGCCGACCGCCACGCAGCCAAACCGACCGAAGTGCTGGACAGCCGTGCGGACCCCCCCCCCGTAATTCGAGGAACAAGCCGTGCCATAAACATAAACTGTCGGTGGTCCGCGCGGATTTCTTGCTACGGCGCTGGCCCCCCCCCCCCCCCCTGGCGCGCGGACCGCGCGGCGTCTGGGGCGCCACCACGGGGGCCCAGCGTCGATCCGAGAAATCCGCGCGGAACGTCGAGACTTCATGCGTTTGCGTCAGTGTCTGCTCCCCGACGGCGAGCGGGGCTGCCGATCGCTTCCGCACGGGGGCCAAAAGGGGGTCCCGACGGGAGCGGGTCCTGGACGAGCCTCTCCGACGGTCGCAGGGCCCGCGGAGGGCCCCAGGAGCCCGCAGACTGCGGAATACCTCGGGGCCTGTCTCTGCGAGGTGGGAAAGCATGGCACACACAGAAACCTTCGACGCTCCGCACGCGGATTTCCTGCATCCGCACGGGACCCCCTCTCCCTGGCGCGCGGAGCGCACCAGGGGCGTCGCCGGAGGCGCCGCCAGGAGGGCCCAGCGCAGATCCAAGACCTCCGCGCGGAACGTCGACAAGTTTCTGCCTGTGCCGTTCTCGTTGCTCCTCGTCGAGCTCCCCTCCGGACCCGTGCTGGCCATCGCTCGGACGTCCATCCCCTGTGCTTTTTTTGTTCGGCTTCGTGCGTGGACTTCTCACCAGACGATCCAGAATGCTCCCCGACGGTCCTCGCCGAAGGAAAACTGCACACGCCCGAGCGATGCCAAGCCGTGCCCCTTATGGCGAGGTGCTGCCGACCGCCGTGGCGCAGCGGGCGCTTGCCAGGCCTTCGCCGCCGCGTAGGTGTTGAGGGCCTCCACGGCGTTGGCCTCGCCGTGGCAGTGGTCGCGGAGGCTGTCCTCGGAGGGGCCCAAGGACGCACAAATGAATATATATACACACACACACACACATAACGGGATTTCCCATATTTCCTTGTATTTTCTGGGTTCCTGCCTTCCCCCCATATTTCCTATATTTTCCCTTATTTTCCCGGGAGTCGACGATTCATTGTGACTGTGTGACTGTGTGTGTGTGTTTTCTCCCCTCGCGAGTCCCGGGGGCGAGGAGGGGCACCGACGCTCGGGCGGGCCTCTCCGAGCAGAGGTGCCCAGGCAGGCACCCCAACAAAAAAAGACATGCTCCGAAATGGCATCTCGTGCCAGGATTGAGTCATAGATTGTCCCTCGGGTTGTGTTGCCCCCATCGTACTTAAGGACCACCTCCTCCCAGAAGTAATTTCGAGCACCCAGAAAAGTGTCGAAAGAGTGTCGAAAGAGTGTCGAAAAAGTGTCGGACGAGTGTCTCCTGGGGCCCGGCACGTGAAAACCCTCGAGTTTCGCTACTTCTTTTCTTGCTGCTCGGGATCCATTCTGGTGATCAAGGCTAAAGTAGGTTGGAACATCATACCCCTAGGGAGCCCAACTCTGCCCAGGAAGACACATTGCCAGACCCCCGTATGTTTCACACTGTTGTTGGATGTTCGTCTTCCCCTACGCTCCACGCAGTTCCCATACTCCCTTGCAAAACAAGCGCGTTGATTTGTGACTGTGCGTGTGTGCTTGCCCCGTCTGACTCCACTTGGCGCGGCCCGAGAGCACTAACAACAAGAACGCTGGCGGCACCTCTTCGGAGGCGCTTCGTTCCAGGACCCCCCTCGAGTCATTCACAAAAAGCCACGTCGGAAGGTAATTCTCTCCATTCTCTGCCTCTGGGGGCCCTTACTGTAGGCGCAGGGGGGGGGCCAGACAACAAGGGCCAACTTCTGTTTACGACGCATGATAACTGCGCGCATGCCTGTAAGAGCACGCAATGTGTTTGATTTCGCCTACGCGCCCGCCAGAGATTCACGGCCGCAATCAGTCAGTCAGGGGGCCCTTACCGGGCATCGGGGCCGTCAAGAAAACAGCACAGGATGAGAAACCGGTACTGGGGCATGGGTCGAGCCCGCTGGGAGTCGACGTTGTGAAGTAATCATGACGTAAGGGAGAGCATGCTACGCATGGAATGAAGTCAATGAAAATCAATTGCAGTGGATCCGTGAGTGGATCAATCTAGATTGATGAGGCTATGATGCCTCTTTTGATTTTGAGTCTGGGCTTCCTTCTGCCTGCTTCTGCTAGCGGAGCCGCCGCCGCTTTACCTGGGCCGGCTTGCTCCCACTTTCAGCCAGCCTTCCGCCAATCCAGAGAGGGAGAACGGTAGGGGGGAACGACCCAGGGGGGAAACATCGAGCAGGAATCGGCGACACATCGCCGACAGATCGGCGATGGGCCACGGATAGCGAACCTGCACGTTCCCGGGAGGAGCGGGGCTATCGGGCACTTCTCGGCGATGAGTGGGCGCTAAGGTCGCCGAGACTCCCGCCGTGGCCAGGGAAGAGTGGGGAGGATAGAACAAGCAAAGCAAGAGCATAAACTGGAAAAGGCACCGGCACCGCTGCGCGTCCTCTAGATCCCTCCCGTTGAGCGGGTGGTGGTGGGGGGTGGTCCAAATAGGGGGTAAAGAAGAGTGCCCCTAGCGTGGCCCTTCAGGACCCACCATTTAGGTCACACCCCGTGCACCACCTGCCCGAGAAAATGCCTCTCCGGGCACACGCCGTGGCATAAACGTGCAACCACTCGGAGCTCCGCGCAGATTTCTTGGATCGGCGCTGGACCCCTGGCGGCGCCTCCGGCGCTGGACCCCTGGCGCGCTCCACGCGCCGAGGAGGGGGGTCAATCCAGAACTCCGCGCGGACCTCCGACAGTTTTATGTTTACAGTCAAAAACCTAATAAGGACGCGCGGTAAGGACGCAAGACCCTTGGAAGCCGAAGTTGGGATTTCTGGGGCGGCGGACGACGAAAACCTCAAGGACACAAGAGCAAGGAAGAGTAGGGACGCAAGGGTCCCCTGAGCAAAGTCGCCGCGTCCTTATTAGGGTTTTTGACTGTATGCCATTGCCTGTTCCCCGATCGTGCCCCTGCTGGCCATCGCTCGGGCGTCCACTCCCTGTGCTTTTTGTCGGTCTCGTGCGTGGTTTTCTCGCCAGGTGATCCAGGATTACGCTCCTCGATGGTCCTCGCCGAAGGAAAAAGGCGCACGTCCGAGCGATGCCAAGCCTGATTGCTGTGGCAGGTGCTGGTGCAACCTTTCCAGACGCCCTGGGACAACCGTCCCCCGTCGCGTCCCCAGGCTGGTGGCATCGTGGTTCGATCTGAATGTTGGCACCCCCCCCTCCTCCACCCTCTTCCTCATTTTCCTCCTCCTCCTCCTCATTTTCCTCCCTCTTCTTCCTCTTCATCCTCCTCCTCCTCCTCCTCCTCCTCCGCCTCCTCCTCCTCCTCCTCCTCCTCCTCCTCCTCCTCCTCCTCCTCCTCCTCCTCCTCCTCCCCCTTCCCCTCCTCCTCCTCCTCCAAGGCTCCGTGCGCGAGCTGCCCGCCAGTTCATTCTGGGCATCGGCCCTCCCATGCGCAGCTGCCTTACGCGCGCCAGCCTGTCCGTCCAGGCCGACCGCGCCCCGCCATGGTCCCAGTCGCTCGTTCCATCTCCACGGTTCCCGCGGCCGCGTGGGAGCAGCTCGGAGCTTGGGCACTTGATGCAACTCGGGAGTTGCGGCACGGGCGGCCATGAGCTCCGCCTGCGGCACGTGTGCTGCCGCTCGTGATGCCCATTGTCGGGTGGAAGCAGTCCGTGAGCTACGGCCAGTTCTTGGCACTATCCCGAGGGTGCGTTCACGGCTGCGCGCTGGTGGTAGCGGTGCTCTTCGAGGACACCCCGGTCCCTGCGGGGGGCCCTCCCCCTCTGAATGACAAGGTTCCACAAATTAACCCCAGGAAGCATTTAAGAACCCCCCCCCCCTTCCGGCAAATCGATAACCCTTCCGCACCCTGGAAGCGTTACCTGGCACCAGGAGCCCTCCTCCTCCTCCTCCTCCTCCTCATCCTCCTCCTCCTCCTCCTCCTCTCCTCCACCCACGAACTTCCTCCTGCCCCCTCCTCCTCCTCCTCCTCCTCCTCCTCCTCCTCCTCCTCCTCCTCCTCCTCCTCCTCCTCCTCCTCCCGCGCCCCCCTCCTTCCCTCGGGGCCCAAGGCCTGCCAGGGCCCAAGTCACCTGGGGTTTCCCCTCTGGGCCTTCTCCTGAGAGCCACGCAGATTTGAATTTCGAATTTCGATTGTAGCCCAGGGGCCAGGCCTCCGCGAATTTGTTGTGTGTCCGGGTGCTAAACCTATCGTGCGGTTATTTCGGCCCCTCGGAATATCGAATAAAAATGCGGTGCTAAGATATCGCCGGGGGGGTTCTTAAATGCTTCCTGGGGTTATTCGTCTCCCTCTCTCCTTCTTCCGTTGCATGGGCTGCGGCCCGCAGGCCAGAGGGGGTTAAGCATCCGGCGGGATGGCTGCATCTTGCCTCTCCCTCATCTCTCCCCCGTCCTCCTCTGTGTCCGCTCGTCCTCTCTTCCCCTGGTGGGCAAATCCCTGTTCCTCCGCGGGTTAGGGCCCCCTTCGGGGGGTGAGGCCGGGTCCCTACCACCATCCGCACCACATCCCCCACTGCTGCCCCCAGCACCAATGTCCTCACCACCACTGTCCCCACTGTTCCCACCATTGTCCCCGCTGTCCCCACCAGTGCCGCCACCAGTGTCTCACTGTCCCCACTCTCCCCACCACCACCGTCCCCAGCACTGTCCCACTGTCCCCACCACTGCCCCACGGCCCCAACCACTGACTGTCCCACTGTCCCCACTGTCCCACTGTCCCCGCCGCTTTCCCACTGAGCTGCCCCACTGTTCCCACCACTGTCCCCGCTGTCCCCACCACTGTC